TATAATTTTTTTTGAAATGCATGCTGTTAATTAACTAGACAGAATGTTCACATTTAAAGAGTCAACAGACTTTTGACAACTCATAGGTCATTCTTATCATAAGATCATAGGTTTAATATCAGGCGCTTCAGTTATGGCTTGGACCTTTTCAGGAGTAGGTATAAATGGTTTTACATCATGCACGGTCAAGTGTCTTTTTAAATGGTTGCTGTCCATAAACCGTTTCCCACACACCTCACATGAAAAAGGTTTTTCTCCAGAGTGGGTTAAATGATGCCTTCTCAAGCTTTCAAGGGCAACAAACATCTGATTACACTCATCACACTTAAAAGGTTTTTCACCTGAATGAGACAGTAAATGACGTTTCAGGTGACTACCACGTGTAAACTTTTCCCCACATTCAGTACATACATAAGGTTTTTCACCAGAGTGTGTCATAAGGTGTCTCTTGAGATGGTTGGAGTTTAAAAACTTTTTACCACATTGGTCACATGGGAAAGGTTTTTCACCAGAGTGAATCATGGCATGACGTTTAAGGTGACTGTTTCGAGAGAATTTCTCTCCACAATCACTGCAGGAGTAGGGACGCAAGCCAGTATGTACCATGTAGTGTCTTTTCAAATGATAGTTGACCTTAAAACCCTCTCCACAGATGCCACAGATAAATGGTTTTTCTCCAGTGTGAGACATAATATGCCTCTGCAAAGCACTATTTTGAGCAAAACTGTCACCACACTCTGGGCACATATGAGGCCTGTCCTGCGAGTGGGAGAGAACATGGCGGCGAAAACCTTTGCTGTCACATTGCTTCCCACATATATTGCAAACATATGGTTTCCCATTTGTTTCAGTAATGTCTTGAGGCAAAGTACTTTCAGCACGACCTTCTTGGGTAGATCCTGGTTGGGTTTGTAGTGAAAAGTAGGTGGGGTTAGTGCCCCCTTCTTGAGGTTGTGTGCCTCTATCCTCTCGAACACCTACGTTCATCTCCTTATTTTGACGTATTAGTGTAAGCATACGAGCTGGGCAGTCCACTTTATGCTTCCCTGGAGGATCAACAGTTGTAGCAGACCCACATGGGCACATAAAAAAAGCAGGTCCTACTTGGATGAAAAGAAAAGAAACCAATTAAGAATAAGCAGCCACACATGAAATGACAAAACATTAATTTGTCAACAATAATAACAAACCTCCATTGCCGTTGTGAGCGTTGGGAACAGGGTAGGGCATGAGAGGGGGCTGTGATGTAGCTGAAAGATTCTGTAAAATAAGAAATGCAAGAATTAAGACTTGAACAGCGGAAATTTAAATACAAATGGGAATAAGTATCGTGAAATAAGGCACAAAAACTAGTGAGCAAAAGTAAACCTACAAAGGAAATGAGAGGGTTGCAAAACAGAGCACAATATATAACATTAAAAATGTAAAGATAGAAACGTCACATTATTTCATAAAGAGAAGGCGACTACATTAAGTTGCATAATATTGACAGGTAGTAAGGATGCCTAGTTAATTTGACATGTACGAACACATATACATGTCAGCTGTTTGTGGTACTCACTGGTGTAGACATAACTGCTTGGCTCCACGGAGAAAAACGAATGTTTGTCTCACGGAGCAGACTATACTTTAGATAGCATACGAGGTAAAATAAATTATTATAAATGTTTGTTGTTGATTGACTTAAACGACGACAAAAAAAGTGAGGTTAAGCGGCATAAATATGTGAAACACGATTGCCAACAAAATTTATTGTACCCGATAAATAAATAAACTTCACCCGTAAAAATAAATCACGAGAAAATACTTTGAGGTTCATTAATAACAATATTTTAAAATTTAACGGCTATATTTCGCAGTTATATTTCTCTATTTTTTAATTTAAAAAAATATATCGGGAAAAGTGCAGGTGGTTTTGACAGGAAGAAGAACAGCGAGTAGAACGTGGAAAATCAATGTTCACGATTGGTCGAGCCTGAACCCCCACCATCGGTGTGACTTACGGCGGGAAGCTCGCGTCCAATCAGGAATGTATATGTTGTGACTTTAATTCTCCTTATTATTCTTCTATTAGCTGCTGAAGGACACTTGGTCTTGGTCACCAATTTATCAAAACTAAACTGAGGTTTTGAATCAAATTCAACGTGTTCACATCGTAACGAAGTTCAAGGTAATAAACTTTAAGTAATTTGGGAGGAAACACAAGTCACGAAGTTTACTGTAGCTTTACATCGTTGTTGTAATGCTAATTCGGTTTTGGAGGGTATTCTGAAAGCGAAGTGTGGGCTGTGCAGCGATGAATGTTGTTAGATATGAGATTGCAAATCAAGTTATTCGTGAAAGGTCACATGAATATAGAATTTTATTGTACAAGTTTTTGTAAAAATGGGTCACAAGCTGACATGGGTTCAATGATATTTCATAGAAATATGTACCACGCAACACGATTCACACAGCATTTCACAACTGAGAACACTCATACAAGTAAGCTCCAAGAAGCTTTGTCTGCAACAAAAACAAAATTAAAAAATTGTGAGAAATAAATCTATTGAGTAAAAAGTAATAAATTGATATTGGGTACTAACTCCTTCAATGTAGTTGCGGACATTGAGTTTCTCATTCTGAGAATGAGGACTGTCATCACCCATTCCAACAGGCAAGAGAAGAACGTTCTTGCCTGACACCTCCTACAAAGTATAATAGATAATTATTTAGAAATATATACTAATCAAGCAAAACTGAAATTGCCGCCACAAAGTGTATCATCCCATAAACATTAAAGTTTAGAAGGGGTGAAAAATTTACCTGAAGTGTGAGGGTGACAGGGATTGAGCCTCCCTCCCTAGTAAGGTCAGGCTTTACTTTGTAGACATGTTCAGTAGCTTTGATGGCTGCCTGGTAATGGGGATGAGATGGATCACTAGTCCAGGGACGCCCGCTATGAAGAGCATAGGCCTTTAAAATAAAGAAATATGACAGAATTTTACAAAGTAACACTCAAATTTTTTTCAATTGTGAAGAAAAGACAGTATAAACCAACCCTAAATCTGTTTGGGCTGCCACGCTTCTTCCACTTCTCATTCAAGAATTTGACAACTAACTCATCAATTTTGTTGGGATCTTGATTTGGCACCAAGCGAATAGAAAACTTGCCAATAACTTTACGAGGGATAACAGTCTTTGCTCCAGGGTCACTGAAAGCTCCCTGGATGCCATGAACAGAGAGGGATGGATAACGCCATCTGCTCATCAAAAGTTTAGTCTGAAAGAACATTCCTTGGATGAGACATGATTTGATGTAACCACAAAAGTTATAGCAACAACAACAAAAATGCAAGTAAGACAGGATAAATGAGAAGTAAAATTAATGAATTACCTTGTCTCCTTTGTGCCGCAGTTCAGAAGCATTGATTTCAGCGTGATATGCAGGAACATCAAATTCAATGTCGTTATAAATTTCTTCCTCTCCTTTAGCAAGTGGAGCTACATCATCCATGATGCCAGGAATCATAATTTCACCTTTGTCATCAGTTAAGTTGTGAAGCATATAAATAAGATCGGGCATAGCTTCATACCTGTCAAATGCACATTGGAATATTATCAGATCTGATCTGACCAAATCAATAAACTAAACTAAAAGTAAAATCTAGTTCTGAAAGGAATATTAATCAAACTGCTTTCCTGTTACGTACACTGTGCCTCCGTATACACCACTGTGAAGATCCTTGGAACTGCATTCAACTTCAACACCAAAGTAGCTCAATCCTCTGAGACCATACGTAATGCATGGCTTTGTAGTTCCCAGCCAATAGTTATCAGAGATGCACACGTAGTCAACATCTTGGAAATAAGCTTTACGGGAGTTCAGCAAATCATCCAAACCCTCACTTCCAGATTCTTCCATGCCTTCAAATACAAACTAGAAAAAAAATCATTAGAATACAAAAGTGAACCACAACAATGGACGAAAATGATAAAATCTCTGTCTCACTTTGACATTGACTGGGAGACCCTGCTTAGACTTTTGCAAAGCTTCAATGGCATGGATAAATGCAAGTACAGGGCCTTTATCATCGCTTGAACCTCTACCATAGAGCTTTTCATCTTTCCGAGTTAGAACAAAGGGCTCAGTGTCCCATCCATCCTCAATAGCTGCTGGTTGTACGTCCAAATGACCGTATATACACACGGTTTTCTTAGAAGAATCATTGCCAATGGATCCCAAAATCACAGGTGGTAACTTGATTTGCTTGCCATCAGGCAGAGTCTATAACAACAAAATAAAGATATGTTTAAAACTAATTCCAACCTAAATGAATAAGCCAAAAGACAGAACATGAAAATATAAGTCGAAACTTTAAGAACACAGTATTTAAACCTCATTTCCGATGTCACACAGTTCCAAATTAGCACCAAGCTTCTTCAGCTTCTCTGCAGTCCAGTTTACCATACGGATGGTTTCACCTCGCTTTTCAGGATCAGCAGAAACAGACTGAATGGCAACAGCCTCTTCCAAAATCTTGATGTACTCCTCCTTGTGTTTATCCACATAGCTATTTTAACAAAAAACAAAAAAAAGGTCATTCATGACATTAAAAGAAAATACTGTTCCAAAAATTGAAAGAGTCAGCCGGTGAATGGCAAAAAAGCTTAATCAGCTGAAAAATGTTTCAAAACATACCTGAATAGCTCTTTTAGTTGAGCTGGAAGAGACATGTTGGTGACTAAAAAGAAAAAGAAAAGGAAAAAAATTAATATCAAAGAAAATTCAGAAAACAACTTTCAGCAAACATGTCCACAAACTTTTCTCTAGTAACTACAAGCAAATTATTCAAGACCTGGAAAATAAAGAAAAGCAAACGGAAGATGTGAATTCTTATGACTCATATTTGGAGAGTTACCCACCACTCAAAGTTCAACTCACTATCAATACAACATATCATCAATGTATGCACAGCAACACTGCTGCTGATACAAGTACTCTGCAAAAAGGTACACAAGAACATGAACTGATTTTTGTAGTACCTCTAAGCAACTGCTATAAGCTTCCAGTCTTATCTGTAATGAAGGGATACCCACAAGAGGGTATTATGATGGGAAGATAAAGGAGTCGGTAACAATCTCGGACATGTGACATAGGGGTAGAAATAAAAATCTTGTAAAGTTAGTCCTACTAATTCAATCTTTGACATAACACCAAAATGTAACTATAACGACTCAAAATTACAGCTGAGAAATAATGCACTGAGGCAGCAACAGGTTCAAAGATCAGCAAGGTGAGACCTGCTGGGTACCTATAGTACTAGCACACAGCAACTTTTCTCAAAGTATAAGATCTCAACAAGGGTGTGCCATAAGGTTACAACTGAAAATTTGACATACTTTAAGGTTTGACGAGTACTATAGAGAAATGGGACAAGATTCTCAAAGAGACACTTACTTTACGTTAGGAGAAACTCGGCACAAAAGGTGTTGTTCGAATCACAGTCGAGCACTCACTGTCAGAGAGTTTTACACTACACAGCTCAGCTATTCCTCTGGCAGCTGACACCGTCACAGCCCTTCCGCCCCATTCCCCCCTCCTATCAACCGGCTACTTCAATTCCTCTTTCACCCTCACATTTACTTTACTCCACGCTATCTCTTTCGTTTGCTCTTCTTTCATCAGCCGTTTATCACTTCTGCTGTGTCTTCATTCTGCACAACATTAGACTGTCGAGTCCAGAGCAGCCAACTGGATTGATTTTGGGCTGTGGAAATAATTCATATATTAAATTTTAAGACCTTAAGCATTTTCTTTCCTACTATTTTGAAATCAAATTTTGAAAAAGAATGTAAGATGAATTGATTAGAAGCTCTAGGAACGTAGTTCTCACATTTCAAGCTGCTCGACTTATCGCGCGAGATTTGAATTATATCTGCAGTACAACCACAATGATCACAATCCTCCGGTTAACCCATAAATTCAATGGCAATATTAGTCAAAGTGGGTGTCAGTGCCTTAAACGCTATGATTTTAAAGAAAAAGTGTTAATTTCTTCATTGCAGTTTTCCAGAAGAATCTCTTATTCAAGTATATTAAATGCAGAAACACCTAAGAAGGGTAAATAACCTTAAACTTGGTAAAATTATGTCAAGTTCTCTGGCTCTCATATGTTTGGCTTGCTTTGACTGACATAACCTGAGGCAGTAGTTTTAAGATAATTGGAGTATTGTTCATGGATTAACTGCTCCTATAATACACAGATGTGTCAGGAAAGTTACCACAAAAGTATGACGCAGAGGCAGTTGAATCAGAATGGTATCGATGGTGGGAACAAGAAGGTTTCTTCAAAGTACAAACAAATACCAAAAATTTACAAGAGAAACAAACATTTACCATGATTCTTCCCCCACCTAACGTGACGGGTACTCTTCATCTAGGACATGCACTGACTGTGACAATTCAAGATGTACTTGCAAGATGGTATGTATCTAAACAATCAAACAAATAAAATATTGAAAAACATTTTAAAATGATTTAAGTTTGAATAATTATTTCAGGATGAGAATGTGTGGACGTAATGTACTGTGGATACCTGGAACCGATCATGCTGGAATTGCTACCCAGGTTGTTGTTGAGAAACAATTGCTGGCCCAACATAATATTAACCGGCATACCTTGGGCCGTGAAAATTTTCTGAAAGAAATAAGAAAGTGGCAAAGGGAGAAAGGTTCTCACATTCAAAATCAACTGCGTCTTATGGGAGCATCACTTGATTGGAGTAGGGAATACTTTACGATGGACCAGGTGAATTAAGGAATTTTTAAATAACATTGATATTTTAAAGGAAATTTTTAAGGAAATTGATTCATCTTTCTAGAAACAATCTTCTGCTGTTACTGAAGCATTTATACGCCTTTTTGAGGAGGGGCTAGTTTACCGTAGTAATGTTCCTGTCAGCTGGTCTTGCTGGCTAAGGTCTACTATATCTGACATAGAAATTGAAAACCAGGAAATAAATGGTCCAACAGACCTGCATGTGCCAGGATACACCCAGCCTGTCCAGTTTGGAAAGTTAACAAACATTGTCTATAAGAGTTGTGACAGTGGTAAGTGTTAATATTTTACATGTTGAGTGGATTTCTGTGGGTTTAATTTTAAAAATGTTTAATTTTGATTTTGGCTTTATATTTAGTAAATGAAATAATTGTCTCTACAACAAGACCTGAGACCATGCTAGGAGATGTTGCTATTGCCGTACACCCTGCTGATTCCCGCTACAAACATCTCCATGGTTCATTTTTTTGGCATCCTTATAGACATGAAAAAATACCATTAATATGTGATGAATTTGTAGATCAAGAATTTGGAACTGGTATGGTAGCACAGTACTACTGCTGTATGAAATAGTGCAATTGTTAAGCAATGCAATATCCATTTTTTAATTTATACAATTTTAGGCGCTGTAAAAATTACACCTGCACATGACAGAACAGACTTTGATGTTGCGATGCGGCATAACCTTCAATTAATCTCAGTTATCAATGAATATGGCAACATTTGTGACAACTTTGTCAACTTCAAGGTAATTTATCACTGTTATTCTTTAATACAATATGTAATTAAACATTTATTTGTGCCCTCTAATTAAGTTCTGATATGCATATCCTTCACAGGGTATGAAACGTTTCATTGCTAGAGATCACTTAGTGAAAGATTTGTCAGCACAAGGGCTCATACAGGGAGAGAATCCTCATAAAATGATTGTTCCTGTATGTGGGAGATCTGGAGATATTGTTGAACTTATTCCAAAACCACAGTGGCAAGTACTATTCTCAGTCTTATCATTCCCTATTAGTTGGTGTTTCTCTTTCAAAATAAGAAATAAATGTGGTCACCCTTTTCAGGTTTTTATCCACAAAAGACATAGCTCAGAAAGCAATAAAAGCTGTGAAAGAGAAAAAATTACACTTTTCCCATAAGCAAGCAGAGAAGCTTTGGCTGCAATGGTTTGAAAACAATCAGTAAGAATATTGTTTTTACTAAAAGTTTATAACAACCATGAGTTTGGAAAATCCCTAATAAGTAGTGTTGACTGATTTTCAGAGATTGGTGTCTTTCTCGTCAACTGTGGTGGGGTCATCGAATCCCTGTGTTCAAATGCTGTTTTCCGAATGGATCATCGGAGAAGTGGGTAGCAGCAGGAAGTGGGTCAGAGGCCAAAGTCAAAGCATCAGCACAGTTTTCTTGTCAACCAGATGATCCTAGACTGACAGTTTTGCAAGATGAGGATGTGCTAGATACTTGGTTTTCATCAAGTATTTTACCTTTCTCGGCTCTAGGGTGGCCAGAAATGGTAAGTGGCAAGTCTGTATCCTTCCAGGCACCTAGAAATTTGTGTTTTAAAACTACAAATTATTTTATTTTTAGACTGAGGAATTTCAAAATTTATACCCTCTGAGTCTTATGGAAACAGGACATGACATTTTGTTGTTTTGGGTGGCTAGAATGGTTATCCTTGGAGAACTTCTTACACATAAACTGCCATTTGAGGTATGGAAAAATCTGTTTTATTCTATTTGTATTTTAAACTCGTGGTATTATCACACATATATCTTTCTTTTTTTTTCTTTTCTAGAATGTACTTTTGCATGGAGTTATTCGAGATGCATCGGGTAGAAAGATGTCCAAAAGCATTGGAAATGTGGTGTCTCCTGAGGATATACGAGAAGGACGAACAATTGAGGTGACGAATTGTGTGACAAAAATTGTTGGAAAAATGAATTTATGAAAACTGTGAGTGGATTCCAAAAGAACTGCTATCATATTTTGTTCTGTATACTTGCAGGAACTTGTGAGTGCCATAGTTTTAAGTCATGAATCTGGAGTGATCCCAAAACAAGAGCTTAAAAATGCTATTCAGAATCAAAAGAAAATGTTTCCTGAAGGCATACCTCAGTGTGGTACAGATGCCCTAAGGTTTACTCTTTGTTCATATCCAATTGAGAGTAAGCTGTGATATCCTGAGTCATACGATTCTTTAACTTAATTAGTTAAAATCAAATAAAATTGCTCCATTTTAAAATTTATCTCTAGGTCACTTCATTGATTTTAATGTGAAAAACTGTGAGGCAAATCGTAAGTTTTGCAACAAATTTTGGCAAGCATGTCGATATGTCGAAGGATTTATGGAAGATTCATGCTTGAACCCACAGTTGAAATTTGAAGATCAAACCTCATTATGTGTTATGGACATGTGGGTATTAAGTAAATTGTCTGGTCTAGTTCATAAACTTGAAAACAGCTTGAGTAGACAAGCTCTACATGAATGCGTGGAAGCATTGAGGGTTTTTATACACCATGAATTCTGTGATGTGTATCTTGTAAGTTGCAACGTTTTGAATATGCTTTGCTTGAAGTGTCCTAGTACAACTAATGAAGTGCACTTTAATTTACTGTTTTTTGTTGTTTTTAATGAGCAGGAGAGCACCAAGTTTTTGAAGAACACAGACAGTCAAGCTAAACAAAACACTAGGAGGGTCCTTTCTGTATGTGTTGAAAATATTCTAGCCCTGTTGTCTCCTTTCATGCCATTTCTTACAGAAGAACTCTACCAGCGATTATCTTATTTTCCCAAGACCTCAGATAGTATTACCAAGTGTCACTATCCGCAGCCAAAAGAAGTTAGTACATATCTTAGTTTCTTTTCTTCTTTTCTTTTCAATTAAGACATGATAATATTTTTGAATTTTTCAGTGGATGAAATGGTATAACAAGAGCCTTGAAAGTGAAATAGATTTAATCCTTAAAACTGCATCTGTCATTAGACATCTTAAGAAAAAAAATGGACTGAAAAATAAGGATACTGTTTCAGGTTTGTTGCTATGCTGCTTTTTGAGTATTTTTACACTGAGATTGTAATTAAATATCCACCCGACATTAAGTAATGGACAATTTTTCTTATTTACCATCAGTGGCATTGATAACCAAATCCGAACTTGAATTAGAACAGTTTTTTGAACATAAAATATTGTTAGAAAATTTATCAAGAAGCTCTATCATAAATGTGCTAAATGCACCTGATGAGGTTTCAAACGATTTTATGACAGAAGGGAGACTAGACAACTCCTGTATTGTTAAAATTGTATTAGAGGCAAGTATTATCACATGTAATATTTGATTTTAAAAAATAATGCAACACTTTGATTTTCCTCTCTATATTTTGTAAACAGGGTGAAAATCAAAAACTGCAGTCTAATAAAATGAAATCCGAAATCATTGCTTTAGCTTTAAAAAAGCAATCCAAGCTGAAAGAGCAAATCTTAAGAACAAGAAATATTTTAGAAAATCCCAAATTTTGGACAAATGCCCCCGAGGATGTGAAGCAAACACTCCCTTTGGAGGTAAGCAGATTAAGTGACAATCTATACTGTGGTAACTATGCATAGGTACCTGCATGCCTTATCTCTTCTTCCTCTCTTTTAGTTAACAAGTTTAGAGGAAGAGCAGAAAAAGATAGAAACTTTTTTAAATCAAATTCCAAATTTGAATGAGAATTTAATGCAAAACTTGCCAGGTAAAAAATAATAATCTAATGATGTGGTAGACAGCAACAAATAAAGAACATGTTGTGCAATAAAATTGCGTTAAGTCACATTGAAGAAATTTATATTTACGTTCAGCCATTGAAACATTATTTGCCCAGCCATCACTGAATACAGCTGCCAGTACTAACACGGTTCCACAGACCCTCCAAATCAGGAGATTCATGATGTTTCAAAAATTCTAGAACAAAGTAACAGAATAAAAAGAAAAACCAGACAGTGCATACCATACCGACTGGTCCCAGAACAGGCACCTATCGGAAAAGAGAAAGGGGGGGGGGGGGGCACCAAGGCTCCGGTTGCGATGGGTGCGATACGCAGAGGCAAGAGGGTTTTTCAGAGGCACGTCCTTGCTGACCGTAGAGCCGACCGCCGACGGCAGGTCAACTTAGGCCACACTCACGTCCTCACCTTAACGTAGCCTGATCAAGAGGGTAAAGCCCAGGCCCATGGTAAAACTGGTAAAACGTTTGTACTGAGAGGGCGGATGGTCTTCCCACCCTGTCAGCAGCGAGCGGCCGTGACCGCTGTTGGCTGGGCCCTCGCCGAGGGGAAGCTGGAGAGGGCCCCAAACTTCTGATTGAACCTTGACCTCGTGTTTTCGGCTGCGTCGAGGCGCGGCCTCCAAAAGCCCTTGTGGAGCAAACGGCCAAACGCAGGCCCCTCCTCACCACACCTCCCAGCTACTCCGAGCCCCAGCAGCACCCCACGGCCCGCGCCCAGCTGGGCCGTGCCCTGGGCCCCATCAAGCAGGCCCCTGCCACCATTGGTGACAGCGGCAATAGGCGGGCCATGGCCAAACACACGCGCTCTCGTCTACAAAGGACCAAGGACACCGAGGGCAGCATTTGATCGCGTCGTCTGTCCAGGATGGGACGCGACACGGACGCGCTCTGTTACCACCCAGTGGCCCCTTTAGGCCTGTCCTGCGGGGAGGTGCTGCGTGGCACTACACGTGTATGTCCAGCCTAGAGGGCCCAACACGGGCATCAACTGGAACCAAGATTGTTCGGCTTGGCGGTCCCCGACGACGCTGGGGCCTAGACAAACCCTGCACCCTGCCTACACTACGCTCGATGTTCGTTCAGTTATGCTTGCTATACCGCTAGCACCCCGCCTCCCCCGATAAAATAAATCGTTTCTATAATGCCGCTTAGCTTATTGGTTACCGCTGGGATAGTGTAACTGGGACTCTGGGGAGGAGACTCCGTCCGTATACGGTACCGCCAGTTACGTACTCGAGAGTTTCTTCCGGCGGCGCAGAGCGACACGGTGAGCTCGTCCGTAAGGGCAGGAGGCCTTTAACTTGCTCCCAAGAAAGAAAGGAACAATATTAAAGAAAAGTAACAATTACCTCCTATCTGATGGCCGGTCACCAAGTAGTTCAGAATTTTCGATGGTGTCCGTGAGCATCCGCCGAGTGAAAGAAGGGGGAAAATTCCACTAGATCAGCAACAGAGCTAAGTAAGGGTCTCAGCGTCGCATCCAGGAAGTACATCCCTGTAATGAGTTCCCTTCTCTCGACCGGTGTGCGTTGCGGAGGAGGGGGGGGGGGGTATCCCACGGAGGACCTACTATACCCGGTACACCTGGGTGTCTGCGCCGCTGGGAGGTCGGGGGGAAGAATATAGAGAGTGCAATGACTTTCACGGGTGAGTAGCTTATGGAAACTGCCACTGGACAAATTTCCACAAGCTAACCACCCAGGTGAGAGGGGGTGAGGGTGGAGACAGATTGAGAGGGACAGTGGAGACAGCCTCCGGAACTGTGTAATTTGGTCTTAAAACATGGGAGAGGGGGGGGGGGGTTGATGCAAACAACCCCCTTTGAGACGGGTGCGGGGGCGTCGCGTCGCGTCGCGTCGCGTCCGGGAGCGCCGGCTCGGGGTAAGCGGGCCCGAGTCGCCACCGCACCGTGAGTGATTGCTCGGCCGCGGCTCCGCGCGGCTCCGTCAGCGGGATGCTGTGCTGTGGGTGATCGACCTCATTGTCTGCGGGCGGCGCGGCGCTCTCACGACCAGAGGAGAGGAGCGAGGCGGTGCTGCGGTGCTGGAAGGGTTGCGCCAATGACACAGCAGATGGAGCAGCAGCTGTCCATAGCTGGCCGGGCCGCAGCAGGTGCAGGTGCGCTCCCCCGCCAGCTGACTGAGCGCGCCGCCGCAGCCTGGGCTGGTGGGCGACCGAGCACACCACACCACACGCCGAAGAAGGATAGACTGCTTGTCCTCTTGTCGCACTCACGACGACGACTGCCGGGGGGTGAAACCCTCTCCACCCAACCCCAATCGGTCTGGCCCTGTCATTGGGAAGTCCAGACGAGCAGGGCATGCTTTCGCGCACAAAGTCGTCCTCGGCGGGGCCGCCATCTGAAGAGGGAAGGCCCGGGGAAGGAGGGCCCCGGCGCACGATGGGTTGCCTACCCGACGGGCTGTCCTGCCCGCGCCCTCCCCGGCGCGGCCCGAGCTCGGCTTGCCTTGGGTGGCTTCATTAGGGCGATAAATCCAAACGCCGAGAAGGGTGAGCCCGGGGTGGGCCAGGGGTGGGCCCAGGCCGGGGGTGGGCCCCGTGCTGCGGTATCAAATGACTTTCTACGCGCTGCTATCGCCGCTATTTATACCAGCGCGAGGCTCCGCGAAGGCTGCTCCGCCTGCTCCGCCGTCGTGCGGGGCGGGGCGGGAGCGGGCTGCGCACGGGCACGCGTTGCCTCCCCCGGGCCCCAAGGTGAGCTGCTCAAGGTCCGCGACCACGGCTCCTTTATCCCCCGAGCTGCATCCGGAGAGTGGAAAGGAGGAGGGGAAGGCGTATGGAGCCGTAATTGTGTGGCCACACTGCTGTAAGCCGCGCGGAAGACGCCGATAGTTCATCCCTCCTAGAGCCCCCCCCCCCAATCCCCAGAGCGTTGTCAGGACAACGACGCACGACGCGCCATAATCATAATTTTGCATTTTTATTGCGGAGGTGCGCTCGTGTCGTGTATTCGTTGAGCCATGTCCAGGGTGTTCTGCGGTGCCTGCGGACCCCTCGCTCCTCTCGCGCACTCGGAGGAGGTGCCGGGTGGGTTGCCTGCCTCTTTCCCGCCCCTCGCTATGGCCTGGCCTGACGCCGTCCTGAGTGCATGGAGTAACTCCATGCCTGAGTGTCCTGCTCCTGCTGGCCGGTGACAGGCGACAGCGGGTCGCGCGGCCCGGAGCACACGCGGATCGGCCGACGCACACCACTCACCACGGCGCTCAGCGTATAGCGGACAAAGTCCGACTCATCGCGGAGGTGGCGGAGGGGAGCGGCGGGGACGGGGGACACGAAGGTCGCCTGACATGGCTGCTCTGGTTTCACCCCTGCCTCGATGGCCATACAGTGTACGGTGGCAATGACACTGCTTTGCCACTGCACTCACGCCCCCCTCTCTCTCTCTCTCTCTCTCTCTCTCTCTCTCTCTCTCTCTCTCTCTCTCTCTGCCTCTCTAACTCTCCTTCTCTTTCTTTCTCTCACACTCACGCGCACAGGCGCGCGAGGCAAGCGACGGATCGCCAGCATTCCTCCCTATGTCGCAACTCCGTCCTTCCCTTCCGGGAAGGCGCGAAGGCGGCGGCGGCGGCAGACCAGACGACGGGCCGTGGGACAGTCGACGTCGGCAAACGGAAACGCAATGCAGATCAAAATATTTATGTGCGTCGTCGCTGAGCTTCGCGCGCGACGCAGGCGGCGGCAGGTCGACAGCTTAAATGGAAAGCCCCCTCTCCCCAGCACACTCGCGCTAAATAGCCCGATGAAGGCTAGTTTGTTGTATTTCCGTTTTCATTTCGCTGGAAGAGCAAGTGTGCCACATTAAAAAAAATTATGCCCTAGAAACTTCAGATGTGCAAACGCACAAGTGCCTTTTTAACACGGTCAGTCCCAAGGGGGGTATCATTCACGGCATATTGTGCCCATACGTGTGGTCACGTGTTAAATGCACCGCGAAAGGCACGTTGCTTGCTTTGTAGCAACTTTGTGTTTTCCCAGTGTTTTCATAAAGGTGTCCTGCTTCTTCAGCATGTGAGGCCACGACAAGAAGATAATTGTTTGTTTTAGTTTCGTGTGATTTCATCTTTAGCAAATGATATATTTAACACTATATCTCTGCAGTAGAAAACAACTAACATGTTTAATAATATAATCGTTTAAATATGTGTCTGCTTACTTGTTTTGTTTTTTTTATACATAACCAAGGTTTAGACAGACCTTATGATTCCCATTCCACTTCTCGAGTACGAATCTGGTATCTTTATCGGTACCGCAGGAGGCTGATTAACCCCGCGCACGTCTGTAGTTATACTGTACCGCATTCCTACGTGCGGGCGGGTTGCCTACTCGCTTGGCCCGTGAGGCGCCGTCGACAGGGGCGATAGATAGGCCAGCCCGCCCACACTCCTGCGTGCGGTACAGTATAACTAAAGAATTGCGCAGCGCTTATCAGCCACCTGAATCATGCTCATTGCTCTCGGCAAACCTTCCACAGAGGTCTGAGGTTGTCAGCTTTGCTCTTTCAGCAAGAGACCCTTACTGAACCATCCTGGAAGGGCGAAGTGGAACGAGACCCTGGACTTGTATCATCTGCTTTCATCATCTGTGCCTTTACGGAACATTTCTTTTGTTGCTTTCACACCTCCAAGCATGTACAACTTTGTATGGGCATCACTGTTCTGCGGAGGCTTCCGAGGAAGACGCGTAGGGAAACCCGCGGCGGTGTCATGCTCAAATCTGCGAGCAGCGAACCACACCACCACCACCACACCACTACGCCACTCGCCCCAAGGTGCACGTGACAATCGCTCACGAGAACCTAGTAGTACCTCTCCTCTACGAACTTCTCATGGTTCTGGACGGACACCGCACCCTGCTGAGGAGAGGGGAGGCGACTTTCTCGAGTAAGTGCCCGGTCCCAGCTCCGGAGCCTCCTCCGCGGTGGTCGCGGGGCGCCCGCGGAGCACTCGGGAGCAGGTAGAGGTGGTCACCGTCCTGTGCGGCCGGCAGCGGACCCAACAGGCGGGCAGGCGGCATTGCAGCCCAGTAG